GGTTGAAATTATTTTTTTAGAGTGTTTTCAAAATTTGGCCATTTTAAGGAGGTTGGCCTTCACCTCCAAGAATGTTGGCTGGAAATTTTGGGAGTTGAAGTCCACTCATCATAAAGTGGCCAAGTTTGGACAACACTGACATAAATAGATTTCCACCCCAAATAAGCCTGTGTGATGTAAAGGCCATGCTGGCTGGGGATTATGGGAGTGGTCATTCCCTGGCAAGCATTAGGCATTCTAAAGCAGGGGCATGGGGGGGGGGGAGATGCAAAATATCAAGATGGAGGCTGTGACTCTGCAATCCAAGCCCTGCCCCTTTTAATGTGCATTATGTCGCACAATCACAGTCGCCATCTTGACTCTTTTGACCCTTCCCTGTGGGTGCTCCTGGTGCTAAAGCAACTCTTAAAAATGCACGCCCAGTGCCAAGCAGCTTCCTTAGAAATAAACCCATTGAGTTCACTGGGACTTCTTCTCACTTGGGTGGGATGCGCAGAGCCGTGGAGGGGAATATTCAGAAGCCGTTACAGAAGCAACAAGGGGATATGCTATCCCCTTTCCCTTCAGCCCAGGGAAAGGGGATAGCATATCGGGAAGAGGTTCAGGCAGGCTCCCCCCACCCCCCGACTCAGTGGGGTGTAAGAGGGAGAGAAGGGAAAATGCAAGCAGACTTGTAAGATTCTGTTACTATAGCCCAGGGTTTTTCAACCTTAGCAACTTTAAGAGATGTAGACTTCAGTTCCCAGAATTCCCCAGCCAGCTTGGGAAGCTGACATCCACATCTCTTAGGTTCAGAAACACTGCTATAGCTTTTCTCAATAGAATTTAATTCCAGCCTTCTTAGGAAGCCAGTTTCCCCATCTGGTCTACCTTGTAGGACTGGCATGTAAAGAAGATTGTTGTTACTTGGGAGCAAGCCCTAGTAGCAGACCTCAATTTCTTCTCCATCAACTTTCCTACCTCTAGGACAGTGTTTCTCAACCTTGGCAGCTTGAAGACGTGTGGACTTCAACTCCCAGAATTCCCCAGCC